CAATTTTCATCTTTCTGAAAGAAATTGTCTACCCATACTTGCTAAATATGGTCTATCCATAACTAAGCGACAAAATACGCACCGTATCCATAGCAGAGAACGAGAGAAAGTTTTGGGAGAATAGAAACAAAAATAGAAATAGAAATTTCATAAAACATGAAAAAGATATTGAACTTTCCAAAAGAAATAGAGAGTATATTAGTAGGAAAGAGTTTTTGAAATGAATTTTTCAAATTTTGAAAAAGTCGTATTTTAAATTTCTTCTGGAAAAGATTGTGTATTTTTACAGATCTATTGAAAAAGTCGCACATTAAATCGTTTTCAAAAAAAATCGCCATTAAATCGGCTTGTTAACCATGGGCACACCTAAATAAGTTATTAAAAAATATTTTTAATAAAATAAAATAACCAAAATCTTGAGCAACCTGAATTGTAATATGTGGTTTTCGCTTTTGAATGAAATAAAGTTTTGACGTAGAGAGAATAAAAGAGGCCCTTATTTTTCCCAAGTTACATTAGATAGGGAAAAGAAGCTTATATTCTTACGTGGAAATATCTTGATAGTAATTCCATTAATTTGACCAAACAAATCGTTAAAATTTTCTGAAGCTCGAGCTCCAACTTTAGAAAAATAGGAAACCTTCCTAAAGTAAGATCGGACAAAAACTTTAAACTCGGGCTAGCCGCATGGAAACCGCATCCTCTTAGTTTTCTTTCTCATTTATAATTTTTATTTTATGTTTCAACAATTTTTTTGAACTTTTTTATTTTTTTATATATTTTCAAAATTTTGGGCGCTTGTCGAGCCCACTTGGACGTGGCTGAGCCAAAGCCAACTTTCAAATTTTGGTCTGATCTTACTTTACGAAGGACGTGGTTTCTATGCGGCCAGCCTGACTATTGTAGAAATACGGGCTTGGCAACAAATATATTTTTTAAATATAATTTGATCCTGATTTCTAAAAAATATATAATCAAACTTAAAAATAATATTTATATTAAAAAAACATTTAGACCGTTAGTTACATGCGTTTTTAGATGAACTACCTATTTGCATCCATCTTTAAGATGGATGCTTTATACCTTTGGACTGCATATTGTAAAAATGAAGTCCAACCTGCATGAAACAATTTTCCAAACTAAAAAAATAAAAAAAGGGTTACTGCGCTGAACATTTGGGTAACAAACTAATAGTCCCCTGAGTACCATATCATTTTTTTGGGGACCAGAAATGGATTTTCGAATATCTACGGGTAATGAGGGAAACCACGAATTGTTGCATGCAGCCAGGGAGTTTTATCGTACCAGGTTCTCTCTTGCATGCAGTAAAAAATTGATTTTTTTAGATCTTTATTTTTACTACTTTTTAACCTCATGTATGTTTTGTTTAATTTTGATTTAAACATATATTTCCTTTTTTGTTGGATTTTCTGTATTTTTTTTAATTTTTTTATACATTTTTTGTTCAAATTGATTTTTTAAAAAATCTGTATTTTTACTACTTTTTAACCCCATGTAGATATGTTCTGTTTAATTTTAATTTAAACATATATTTCCTATTTTTTTGGATTTTTGTATTTCATTATTTTTTTATAAACTAAATGAGGAGCAACTAAATGAGAAGTAACAATAGTCTTCAATCAAATGAGCGTGTCAATAGAAACTAAATGAGAAGTAACAGTAGAAGCTAAATGAGAGTCAAATAGAATTTAGTTATTAGGATGAGTGGAGAATGCTTCCTATATTAAACTAGGAATTAAATATATTTGGTTTAAAATGACTTTTTTTTGCTTTAAAATTATCAAAATTTGAATTATGTGTAACCTCTCCAAGAGAGTTTATGAGTTTGGAGAGATATATATCAAGAAAAAGTAGTTGGTGAATCGGTGAGCCATATTTTCAAACCCAAACATGTCCCAATAAACCATTTTCACATTAGATTCACGGATTTTTTATTAATAAAATGAAAAATTCATAAAAATATACAAAATAGACAATTAGCATAAATTTTTTTTATCCATAATTTCAACGCAACAAATAGACCTAATTTTGGTAAGTAAATCTCATCCATCCAGATTAAATATTAGATTTATTAACAATATGAATATTATTTATATTAAAATAAAATAGTTAAATATCCAATAACTTCCAATCTTTGATCTCCACTTCTGTTCTAAGTCAAAACTCTTGGAAATTAAAATCGAACTTTAATGGCAAAGTCTGAAACTTCAAATTCTCCTCCATTATTATAATGTACCTTTGATCTCCTCCCATGTTCTAAGTCAAAACTGTTCTGGAAATTAAAATCGATCTTTAAGGGCAAAGTCTGAAACTTCAAATTCTCCTCCATTATTATAATTTAAAATGAACAAATCGATCTTTAAGGGCAAAGTCTGAAACTTCAAATTCTCCTCCATTATTATAATTTAAAATGAACAAAGCATTATAATTAACTCCTATCCAAGTTAAAATGATATTTGGATTGGAAAAAAATTTATACATGACAGCCGGGCAATTGTGAAAGCTATTCACCTTCAAATCATGACATGAAAAATATTGCTTTCACACAAGGGACGCCTAATCACACAGACAGTATGTAACCCATCGAAACGCATTATGCATTGCATTTACCCGTCTAAATTGTACTGACCATCCATTTGAATTGCTACTATTTTATTCATGGTTGGTATTTCAAATTGAAACATGGCAAAAAAAGTTACAAAATGAAATAAATAAATAAAGGGAGTCACTGATGTATGCTCATATGCGAATGGGCTAAATTGAATCTGGGTCATTTTGTGGCCGATCTGACGCTCACGAATGTCTGATAGTGTTTGAATTTTAATTTTTTTATACAAATGTAAATCACTTAAATTTTAGGTTTTTGTTCTTCAAAAATAGGCGAATCTATCAAAAATGTAAAAAAACAAAATTCATAAATAAATTGACCAAAATACCCCTAAAAAAATTCGGGAGGTATTTTGGTCAATTGTTTTTTAGCAAATTATTTTTTTTATATTTTTATTAGGTGCACTTTGATAAGAATAACACAACTTAAAATTTTAAATGATTTGGATTTGTAGAAAAAAATTAAATTCCAATACTATTGGACATCCGTGAGCGTTAGATCAGCCCAGATTCAATCTGGATTGTGGGTGTTTATTGTAGCAGTACGCACTTGGGTGCGCAACATCTTTTCCCATAAAATAAACTAGAAAATTTTATCGAATTGCACCTAAGATTAATTATTTAACGTTTTACTTATATGTTTTGATTGTATTTCAAATTGCCTTTTAAAATATACATGATTTTTAGTAGGAATAACAGAAAAGGGAAAAATATTAAATAGTTGAAAAATGAGGTGTATTTTAATAAATTCCAAATAAATTAATATTAGAAAGGGATATTATCAAATTACTTATTAAAAATTAACAATTAACGGTTAAACACCTTGCCCATATATTTTGATTTGATTTCAAAATGGCCAAAGAAAAACACATGATGTTGATTTGGTATAGCTGCAAATAGGTAAAAGTAGTTCATTTCTCATGAGTATTTTGATAAATTTTCCTATAATCTAACCCGAATCGAAACCCATGTAGGGTTCAAGTTATTGGACCCGCTCGACCTGGTGGTACGTGTCTAAATAGAAGAAAGATCAATTTATTATAGTTATTTTACAATATATAAATAATGTTGCGTATAATATAAAAATATCGTTTCGGTGGAGCATGGACCCAATCGAGTTGATAAGGTTTAGGATGGACCCAAACCCACACCTAACCCTAGTTGGGTCCATGTCACTTGGACGAGGACTAATCCATTGTGTCCAATATTATCGAGATCCGGACCCACGTCAGGTTGGCTTGTTAGGTTGGTCGATTGACCCGACCCAAGTGCCACCATTACTTTCAAGGAAACAAAATGCATAATGAAATTATGTCCAAATTCTATCTAAAAAAGGATGGGGGAGAGGGAATACATATCTACACATGAGTCCTATGACTCATAAAAATTGAGTCCATAAATAAATGGGAAAATATGCAAAGAGATTAATTTTTTTTCACATATTGTAATTTTTGACGCTTAAATTTCAAATGGAGTGATTGTAGGAGTATTATTGACATGACTCGGGCAACAGAGTACAAAAGTAATTTTTGTCCCTTAAATTACGTGGGTTTTACGTGGGTTAAGAGCAAGTTGCTACGCAAACTCTCCTCCTCCTCCTCATATCGCCACACAGTCTTCCACTACAACCTCCTCATCAAACACAGAGTAGACAGCGGCCTCTATGCTGACGCTCTCTCTCTCTACCACCACATGCGCTCCTCTCTCTCTCTCTAAATCCAGACAACTTCACCTTCCCTTTCCTTTTCAAATCATGTGACTCTCTTTCTCTCTCCTCTCTCTAGGTCGTGCCCTCCACGCTTTTGCACCATCCTCTGCTTCGTCACCTTCATCTCCAATTCCCTCGTGGCAATGTATGCTCGATGCTCCAAGTCTTCGATGAAATGCTCGAGAGGGGCACAGTATCATGGAACTTCCTCATCGCTGCCTACTTGCAAAATGACCATCCTGCTGGTGCACTCGATGTCTTTGCTCACATGATGATGCATGAGAACCCCAAGCCCGACAGAGTCACTGTTGTAAATGCTCTTCCTGCATGCCGCACCTTGCGAGCGGGTCGCTCTAGCAGAGAAATACACACGTATACAATGCGTCGTGGACTCTTTGAAGATATCTTTGTGGGTAACACTTTGATCGATACGTATGCCAAATGCGAATTAATGGGAGAAGCGCTCTCTGTGTTTGAGAACATGGGGGTTAAGGACATTGTGTCATGGATTTCGATTGTTACCGGATTGTCACAAAATGGGAGATGTGAGGAAGCGATGGAAATCATGGCAGAGATGGAGGCCTTGAAGATTGGTTTGAATGTTCTCGGAAAATTGTTTCATGCCGGCTGCATCACATTTCCACGATATGCGGTCTAGAAGTATAAGGCATCTATTTTAAAGATGGATGCAAATAGGTGGTTCATCTAAAATAGAAGTATAAAGCATCCATTTTAAAAATGGATGCAAATAGGTAGTCCATCTAAAAACAAGTGTAATTAACTGTCTAAATATTTTTTTAATATAATTATTATTTTTAGTTTTCAATTTTCTTTTTTCATATTCATAATCTATATATTTTCTAAAAATTAAAATCAAATTATATTTAAAAAATATATTTATTGTCCAACCCGCAATTTTACAATATGCAGGCTGGCCGCATGGAAACCGCGTCCAATGTTATCACGTGGTGTGCGGTCATATCTGGGTATGTTGAGAGGGGTCGTGGCACCGAGGCCTGGCGAGTGTTTCGTGAGTTGCAGGCGTCAAGCGTTGAGGCAAACCATGTGACATTGATTTCACTCCTCTCTTAGTGTTCCTCTGCTGGTGCATTGCAGAGACCCGCATTACAATGTTTGGCTGGTGTGAACCTCATGGTGAAGATTGCTCCATACATATAGGAAAAGTCTTAAAAACGTATATAAGAGGATTGCTACATTGTTTCACCCCATCATGGAATGCTATGTTTGTGATGGTTTTTCCAAAAACCGCCACAGACCTATGGGGTCATGGCAATCTTCGTATATTTTTTGCATCAAATTTGTGTAAAAAAAATCCCGTCACAGACATGCTATATATGTGACTGACGGACCGCCACGGATATGTTATGTTCATTACGGGGTTTAATCCACTCCATACGAAAAAATCGTACGGCGCCGATCCTATGGGCGAAAATAATGTTTATTTTCTCCCATAGATGTTTTGTAGTCTCTTCCATATATATATATATATATATATATATATATGTGTGTGTGTGTGTGTGTGTGTGTGTGTGTGAAGTATTGTTTCATGCATCGAACCCACTATTTCTACAATATGTGGTTCCTAAGGTATAAAGCATTCATCTTAAAGATGGATGCAAATAGGTGGTCCATCTAAAAACAATTGAAACTAACGATCCAAATGTTTTCTCATAAACTCATTCCTTTTTTTTTCTTAAAAATTATTTATGTTTTTATATTCATGATCTCCCATGTTAGAGACTACATATCCTTAAAATTTGGGTTCGAAAATCCATCTCAAAAATAAATTTTTTAAGAGTCAACTCATTTGTTATATGGACTCATATAAACCTCTCTATATATATATATATATATAAACATGTTATGGCCGTCAAAGGGTGAGCTCCATTCGAGCGGTTATCTATACTACGTTATCAAGTCAAAGTTAAAGAATGAATGTGCATTGCAAGAATGGTAAGAGATCCTAATGCTCTAGAGATTTTAGAATAGTTGCCTTTAAGAGGAGGAGGAGTAGAGATGGATATGAATAAGAGAGAAAATTGACCAGGAGATCCTTTAGGGAAAGAAAATAAATGCCTTTATATGAAATAAATATATGGAGAGAAAATTAAGGTGTGCTTGATTTTTGGAAGACTTAGTTTTAGAACGGCATCTTCCAATAATGTAGTACTTCCCCATTTGATAACAAGTTTTATAGGAAAGTGGAGACGGCGATACCCATGAGAGACCATGAAACTTTTGAGTATCCACTTCCCTAAAATATACAGTTTCTTAAACTGCATCTTCGAAAAATCAAGCGCACCCTATTTTGTAAACCCACTTTTAGGAGTGAAGCGAGATATACCCAATTTCTTTATTAATTTTATATGTGAAGTGCGATAAGATTCATATGTTTTGCTTTAAATTGTGCTCGCAGTTAAATCTCCGCTTATACTATTGACCTTTAATGATTTCAATTTTTATTTGTCATTTATTTTTTTTCAACAATATTTTATATGTTGTAGGATATATTTTAACATGCTTATTTGCTCCTTTAAATATATATATATATATATATATATATATAAGAGAGAGAGAGAGAGAGAGAGAGAGAGAGAGAGAGAGAAGAGAGTGAGTAGTAGTATATAGTATATTAGTAGTACGTAGTAGTCTTCTCTCTACTTACTACT